CTAATATATTTCTGTTATTATGGTTATTTTTTGAAATCAGTCAATTTTTGAATTAAAAGAAAAGGCTATTAATAGCCCATGGTTTTTCCTAAAAATGGCTCATGAATCACCCCAAATTTTTATCATGCTTTCTAATACACATTGATACACTTATGCTATGTAGCAAGTTTGAGCTGTTTTAGACAAATAGTTATGGCCATTTTGTAAAAAGTTCAAATTTCGAAAAAATGCCCTGTACTATTGTTTTCTGAAAAATGGCTCAAAGATTACCCCAAAATTTTTGATACACATTGATGCCCTTATGCTCTGTAACAAGTTTGAGCTTTTTCCAACAAATATTTTTCAAGTTATGAGCAAAAATTCTCCAGTTCCTATTCCTACTTTGTGTGTGGTTATTTATTCTTTATTAACTATCCTACAGGTGTTAACTTCAAACTCAATTGAAGGACCTTCAGGAACAGCTTTCAAGCTAAGTACTCTTCACTTGAGAAGACTAAGAGTCATGTTGCTGGTGAACTTGAGGATGTGATGCTTGACCTTGAGAAGGAGAGGAACGCTACTGCTGCCTGGGAGAAGAAGAAGAAAGCCATTGACCAGCAGATCAATGAATGGAAAGCAAAATATGAAGGCTCACAACAAGAACTTGATGCAAGCAAATTTGAATCCTGCATGTACAGCTTTGAGGTATGTTATATTATTATTTTTTATATAATATTCCTGATACTTCACATTCAAATTTTACTTGATATTTTTACCATTTTGATTCTTGTGTGTGTACATGTACTTGTAGCTACTGAAACTCAAATCTGAGAACAGTGATCTCAAAGATGAATGGCAACCAAAGACAACAAACAACTACAAAGTACATAAAACTCTCTCATTTATTAGTACAAGATATACATGTATGTACATATTATGTGCATGATATGTACATGTATGTACATATTATATGCAGTACATGATCACTGAGTATGTGTCTCATCTTGGTTTTTGTTTATTAATTTAGACGATCTTGCTGAAATTGAAAAACAATTAACTGAGGGAGGGACTAGCGTCCACGACCTTGAGAAAGCTAAAAAGAAACTTGAACAAGAAACCAATCTCATGATGGAGGTGGGTGTGGTTTACCGTTACCATGGTTACATTGATTATGTTTGCAAGAGAACAAAAGGCCAATTGGAAGTAGAGCAGAACACTGTCTTTGTCTTCAATTAGAAATATCACAGCTCAAACAGAGAGGAAACTCTTTGAGAAAGATAATGAAATAAACTCCCTCAGGCAAGTCTCGATGTACATACCCAACTCATTATAGAGCTGTTGCACGGAAATAATCAATGGGAGGGTGCGGCTATGGACTGTCTGCCATATTGGGTGGCAAGAATGTACATGGTGAGAATGGAGAAAAAATCTCAATAAATTCTGCAGTTGACATTACAGACTAATGCAAGCTAGGAGATGAAGATATTGAGTGAAGAATTCTCTAATATTCTATAGCCAAGTATGATATCTCATCTTTGGAAAATTCCAGTTTGTTTCTGTATCTCCATTCGTTCTGTGCCACCCAACATGGCAGACAATCCATAGCTGCACCTCCCCCCCGTTGATTACTTCCGTGCAACAGCTCTATAATGAATGTATACAATTCTTTTAATGTAGGAAGACCCA